TAAGTATGCATTCATTAAATTCTCCTTGGAACCTGTTGTAACATCTTACTGATTCTCTCATTACTTAATGAGTTAAATAAAATCTCTAACACATGTTCATTTTCTACTTGTATGACAGTCATGGTTTTAACTTTCTAAAAAATTATCTTTTGGGGCCGGCCCAGTGGTGCAAGCAGTTAAGTGCGCACGCTCTGCTGCGGAGGCCCGGGGTTCACGGGTTCGGATCCCGGGTGCACATTGACGCACTGCTCGTTAAGCCATGCTGTGGCGGCGTCCCATATAAAGTAGAGGAAGATGGGCACGGATGTTAGCCCAGGCCCAGTCTTCCTCAGCAAAAAAGAGGAGGATTGGCATGGATGTTAGCTCAGGGCCGGTCTTTCTCACACACACATACACAAAAAGATTTAAAAAAAAAAATTATCTTTTAACATAGGTGAGGTTAGAATGGAAAATATATGGCGTTAAATGCATTTATCATTAAAGGCTGAAAATAAGTGAACACAAGAAATTAGAATCACAAGATAAATGAAAGAAAAGCAGGGTTTCGAAAGAATTAATATAGATGAAAGATAAAAGCTGAAATGAATAAAATGGAGGGGGGTAGAGGAAGAATAAATAAAAGCAAAAGCTTTACTTTTATTTTTACAAATGACAAAAAAGATAAACTCTTGGAAAACTAAGGAGAAGACTGAAAATAGAAAAAAAAATACAATAGTAATAAGAAAATTACTAATCACTAATTAGCATTACTAATCACTAATAAGAAAATGCTAAAGATTTTAAAATAATTATAGGAGAATGTTAAATAGCATTATAGGGTTACAGATTTGAAAATTTAGAGCCAAGCAAATGATTTTTTTCTTTTGCAAAATATAAATTACCAAAATTCATCCAAATGAGATATAAAACATGAACAGACTGGCAATTACAGAAAACATTGGAAAGTCTGTTAAGGATGTACGTCAGCACAGATAATAAACAGACAATTGTTGAGAGGGCCAAACTACTGTTGGTCGCTGAAAAAAGAAGGAAAGAGCCCCAATTTATTTTCAGAGTAGCGTAACTGAGAACGAACAAAAAGGCAAAAATCAGAGCACAAAAAAGAAAACTAGAGATCAATTGTGCTTACGCATTTAGTTGTACAAATTTCAAGTAAATTACTAGCAAATGAGATCCAGCAATGTATTCGAAGAATAATCCAACATGATCAAGAGGGCTTGTTTCTGGAACTCAAGGTGACTCAGTGCCAGGCTATGTCCCACACTAATTTGACATCAACATATGCAGGTGCAAAACCCTAATAGTTAATGCCAAAAGATATTTGATAAAATTCAGCAACCCACCTTGATAAAAACTTTATGTGAAAATTGGAGTAGAAGAAAATGACCTAAGAACTATAAAAACCACCACTCAAAGGAACAGTGTATATTATATTAAATCGGGAAATTCTACAGCCATTCAAATTAACATTAGAGACGCAACGGGGATGCTAGCTGAGTCAACCATTGCTCGGAGGCTCGACTAACGCAATTGGACAAGAAAACAAACAAAGTGGTATAAATACTGCAAGGGCAGAGATAAAACAACCTGGCAATGAGATGACTGTATCATAACCATCATAAATCATACTTATCAGGGACCAAGAGTTTCTAATAAATACTTACTGTCGATTAATAAGAATTTTTGGTAAGGTAGCTCAATATAGACAAATATACCAAATATGGCTATTCTTTATGTTTGCAACAAACAATTATTTTAAAATGGAAAAAACCCTATTTATAAATACAATAAAATTATACACTAATAAGAAAATACAGGCCTTATATAATAAGAATGGACTATCTATGAAGAAAACTATATAATTTTATTGAATAATGTTTTCAACAGGATTTGAATAAAGGTTTTTGGGTGGAAGATTTAACATTTTTTAAAAAGTCATTCTTTTTATAAGTTCATATATCACGTTGATGGAATTTGAATCAAAATCCTCAAAAGATTATCTTTTTGGAGGGAGAGGTGCTGGATAAAATGGCAGTTCATTTGGAAGAATGAATATCTAAGAATTGCTAAGAAAATTTTGGAAAAGAATAGCTAGGAGGAGGCTTTGTAAGTCTAAAAGATACTAAGGCCTGGCTTAATGCTAATATAATAAACTATGTGATGTTGGCAAACCAGAGAAGATATAAAGATCAGTGGGACAAAACAGAGATTCCAGAAATAGATCCAAGTGTATTTGGGAACTTCATCTAAAGGTGAAATTAGGATTTCAGTTCCGAAGAAAATAATATTTTATTTAACAAATGGTCCTGGTATATGTGGCCAGTGAAACTCCTGTATCACACATATATAAATATGAATTCTTGCTGTAGGAAGATGCTAACTAAAAACAAACAGTAAGAATATTAAAAAAAAACCTATTTAATTCAGGGAAAGGAGTTTCCTAGAAAATACAGGAGCCATAAATGAAGCAACAGAAGAAATCGACTGCATACAAAGATATTTTTACGTGGTAAAGCACCATGAGGAAAGTCAAAAGACAAAGGACGGGGAGGAGGAAACTCAGCAATAAGCGACAGACATGGGGTTCATATCCCCAAGTTTCTAACAACTGAAGGGGGAAAATAGGGGGTATGGGTTTCAGGTTCATAGAAGAGAAAAGTGCAAACGATCAATAAGTCTATGCAGGGATGCCACAGAAATGCAGATCAAAACACCACGTGGGGAAACGCACAAAGAGCATATCACCCATTTCACTCATCAGACTGACAAAACTTCAAGATTAATAACACCCAGGATTGGCAATAGTTGGAGACCACACCACAGACGAGACTACCATTTTGAAAAAGTAATCGGAATCTATGCAAGTACAAACTGCGGAAACTTGTTGAAATTCCAAAAAAACAGCTGAATATGAGGAATTCCGTAAGACGTTTACTGAGGCAGTTTGTAATGGGAAGCAAACACAAAAACAACCTAAATATCCATGAATAGAGAAATGGTTGATGAAGCATGGCATATTCATATTACTACCTTCTGCTTAAAAAAAAAAAGTTAGGGATAACTGTATTGACCCACAGTACTGTTTTTTTCAAATGTTCCAGATGCTCTATTAGGCTCAAGGTTTTATTTATTTATTTATTTATTTTTTTGTGAGGAAGATCAGCCCTGAGCTAACATCCATGCCAATCCTCCTCTTTTTGCTGAGGAAGACTGGCCCTGAGCTAACATCTATTGCCAATCCTCCTCCTTTTTTTTTCCCCCGCCAAAGCCCCAGTAGGTAGTTGTATGTCATAGCTGCACATCCTTCTAGTTGCTGTATGTGGGACGCGGCCTCAGCATGGCCGGAGAAGTGGTGCCTCAGTGCGCGCCTGGGATCCCAACCCGGGCCGCCAGCAGCGGAGCACGTGCTCTTAACCGCTGAGCCACAGGGCCAGCCTGACCCACATACTGTTAATAAATAGAATAATAAGGGCAAGTTGCAGAGAAATGTACATTGTGTGATACAATTACTACGAAAATAGGAAAAAACCCTTTCTACATTATCTTTGGAGTCTATGCATGTTGTTATGAACACAGGGAAAATTAACATTACTTACCTTGGGTGGGGTGACAATAGGCAGGGGGCTGGAGATTACTGACTTGGTTTTTGTATAATTCTGTATTTTGTATAATTGTATAGATATAAATGGAGGGCAGCATTATAGGTGGGGATATCAAGATACAAAAAGAAATACAGTATATAAAAAGAAAATAGTATGCTCAATTCAACCCCAACTCTATAACCAGAGTGGAAAACATTCATACATAAGCATAGAAAAACAGATTAGAAGGAAGTCCACTCAAAATGGTGATAATTTTTACATCTGGGTACTAAGATTATTAGCGAATTCAATTTTTTCTGAATAATATAATGTGTTTCCCATATATTCTATCTTGAATATACATTATGTTCATAATCAGGAAAAAAATCCTTTAAAAGTTGAAAAGAGAGTCCCTCTGGGCAGAAAGATGTAGAAAACGTGTTTATGACAGTAGAAGTTTCCCAGCTAAAATTAAAGCAATAATTCTAAAGCAATGAAATTATTAAAATACTAACAGAAGTACACTGTAAGCTTTTTCGATTTCTTACCAAACCATAGTTAATGACTCATTATTACTATTGCCGATATGAAAATAAACAAATTCTGGCAAAGAAAACACAGCAAGTTACCAGAAATGTGTTCAAATATTAAGGATCAAAGAACCCAAGCAGACAATGCCCGAGTTCTAGCTCTTTCTCTATTTCCTAAAGGAGGGACTTGCAATTTCCAGCAGGCGACCCTCAAGGTTTCTAGCAGCACCATTTTGTATATTTCCTCAGTGTATTACCATAAAAGAAGTGAAAAATAATATATTTCTATAAAAGTGAGCTGATCTGCATGAGAATTTTGATTAAATAAGTTTGCATTAGAGAAGAAAAGTGGTGGAGTGACCTCCCTCCTCTCCAATCCTTGCTGACACTCTGTGAGAGCAGCTTTCATTCACTCACTATTTATTAAGAGCCCACCGGAGTTGAAGATCATGCTAGAGCCTGGAAATCAGAGAGATTAGGACCCTAGTTGATGTCTTTGGGTCTAAACATGGGTAATTCTAGCTCGCTCTCTGGCGCCACCTACTGATAAAACAGCGTTTCAATTCAAAACAGAATAAAATTTTAATTTCTATCTTTTCAATATAGCCTATGCTTTGGAAAAACCTAGGTGCTTTTCCAGTCCCACTTGTCTGGACCCTGGGATTGTACACACATTAATATGTAAAACAATGGTGTCCTGCAACTCTCTGTCCTAAGGCTGAGCGGGAACTTGCATGATATTTGCATCTAAACAGAAATATCAGGTTCATCAGTCTGAAGTTTCAAAATGAAAATGATAGTTGGGTCACTTTCGGAACCACACATATGTAATTTGGCTGTGAAGAAGGTAAGTCATTTGTATAATATTTACGAGCGAGGACTAAAAACCTTTGCTTCCCCAAGTTCTCTTTAATTACGATAATTCACATCCCTTCAATCCCAAATCATACCATGACTCTAAAGAATCATTAACATTCAGTATATTTTAATCATGTAACAGTTTATTAGGAAACCATTCCTTTTTTGCTTATTAGCACGAAACATTTTTTTTGGTCAAAGATCCATTAACATTATGCAGAAAATGGTCCTTTGTGCCAACAGATTTGTATCCATGTACTAAAACACGAATACCCCAAACTCTGGTGGGTATTTCAGAAGAGAGACTTAAGAGAGGCTGGGAAGTACCATCTACTCACAAATTTAATGAAGTGGAAAAAACCTTTATTATAAGAGTTGCAAAATCAAGTTGGAAACAAACAAATGTATTCACTAAATGCATTTAATTCCAGACCCTCATTGGAAACATCTTGGTAACGTCTAAGATTCTACAACAGTTAGAACATGGCGAGTCAGAGGTGGTCTCAAAGTTATTACAGGTTAAAAAATTACAGTAAGCAGTATAAAATTACAATTATTACGGGGGAGGGGGGAACAACGGCTCACAACAGTCCTTAAAAAAACATTAAGAGCAAACCTCTTAGAGAATTCTATTTATGACCTCTTTTTCATCACTCCTTTTTTCCCCTTTCTTTTGTTTTTTTAAGTACTAATCCGGTATAGAATCTGCTGGACAGAGCAAAGTTGGGTGGGCTCCTCCTTGAATGATGGAGTAAGTCTGCTTGGGTAACTCTTGCTGGGAAGAAGAGGAAAATATAGGCGGCGCGGTGGTGGCCACGGCGATGTTCTGGCCCCCATCGCTGACCACAGTCACTTCAGCGGTCCCCTCCTGAATCAAAGCGTTAAGGCCTTCGAAGTCAGTGCAAGTAATACCCGAACTGGTGATGAAAGTCTGGCCGCCAGAGCCTTCCTGGGGGCCCCCAGGGGCCGTGGGGATGAGAGTCTGGTGCAGAGTGGCTCCGTCAGTCTGGTCGTGAGTGGTCAGCAGGACAGCTGGCTGGGTCATCGCGCCCGCCTGGCTCGGACACCCGGAGGCCTGAGGAGGGGCGATCAGATTGACCTGGCGCAGGATCTGCAGCCGGCTGTTCCCCGGGAGCTCCTCCGCGTTCTGGGCCACCAAGGCGGGGGGGACGATGTTCACCGCGGCAGCCGCAGCCTGGACGATGGTGTTCGCCTGGGGCACCTGATGCCCCACGATGATTTTGACTCTCCCCTCGCTGAACTGGGGCACTTGGCCGGGCTGGAGGGGCACCTGGAGGTGCCCCACAGTGAGGGGCGCGGCGGGCTGCTTGCTGGGGTCGATCTGAAACTGCAGGACGGTCACGTCCGAGTTCTTGTTCTCACCGTACTCACTGTGCTGCCTCTTGTGGCTGCGGAGCGAGTCCTCCCGCATGAACGAGGCATCGCATCGGTCGCAGTGGAAAGTCTTCTTGGCGTCCAGCTTGGCCACCTGCCGGCTGCTCTGCCGGCCCGCGTCCTTCCTCTCCAGGGCCTCGCTCTTGACCACGTCGCCGTGGAACTTCTTCACGTGCTTGCTCAGGTTGCTGGGCTGCTTGGTGTCGAAGCTGCAGTAGCGACACTTGAAGGGGCGGTCGGGGCAGTGGGTGCGCTCGTGCACGCGCAGGGCGGCCGCGCTGGAGCAGGAGTAGCTACACTCGGGGCACTTCTCGGGCTGCTCCGCCTGGTGCGCCCGGCTGTGCTTCCGGAGGGTGGCCTTGCTGTCCCCCAGGAAGTCGCAGTGCGGACACTTGAAGTTATTCCCGCTGTGCTTGATGCGGATGTGCGACTTGAGGTTGCCCTTCATGGTGCAGCGGACACTGCAGAACTCGCACTTGAAAGGCTTCTCCCCCGAGTGCACGCGCATGTGCCTTTTCAAGTCCGAGCTGATTTTGAACTTGGCGCTACAGAGCCAGCACTGGAAGGGGGCGTCCCCTGTTAACACAAGGTGAGTTTCCATAAGAACAGGCAGGCAACAACCACAGCGGATCCCCCCGAAGCACACACCAGAAAATCGCTTATACCAAGGCGGGCGGGTGGAGACCTTCTAACTGCAGCTCCCAGCAGCCCCTGGGAGGAAAAAAGTGGGGGTCGGGGGCTGCTTTTCTTTCCCCAAACCTAAACCACCGATTTGGGTGCACCACCACCGTTACAACACCCAGAAGAAAAACTGAGATGGAAAAGAGCTATTTAATTGTCCCAAATAAAACAAGATCTGCGAATATACTTAGTATATTCTTTAAAACAATCAACCTATCGTTCATCTAGTGAACGTGCCCGCTCTGCTAGTTAATGGTTCACAGTTGTACCGTTTTGCATCATCCGTTGATTTTGATTGAGTTACCTGTTGTAACAGATTGAAGGACACATTTTCGAATCAGTCAACTTCGTGCTCACTCATCAGAATACTCTTTTTACAATGATCGAAACGCCCAGCTTATACTTCATGCAGATTTTTATTAATAAAGACGTGTTTATTGCCCAAAATTTATTTGTCCTTCATTGCCAGCTGCGTTCTTGTGAAGTTACAAAATCCAGCTGCTTTTGGTTTTTTTTTTTTAAATTCATAGTCACTGAAAGATGAGCAGGGAGAGTGAAATTGCAAGGATCTGAGTGGGCGTGATATTCCAAATTTGTTTCCTCAAGGAATGTCAAGTCCAAATTATCTAAGGCACTGATAATTCAAACAAATTGGTGACCCTGCCCATTTCAATATCGCTTAGGCAGGCAAAATAACAGCAGCGAACATTCTTCAGTGCTTCTGGGATGGCAGGGGCTCTGCTGAGCACTCGACAAGGATGGTCTCATTTGATGCTCCCAACATTGCCATGAGGCGGGTGCTATTATCAATTTTACTCTAAACATTACTGTACAAATGAGGAGACTGAGGCCTCGAGAGACGATACAACTTGCTCATGGTCACTGAGCAGTAGCAGTGTAGTAGTACGTGGCAGGGCTTGGATTCCAACCCAGGCTGACTCCAAAGCTGGTATTCTTAGATGCTGGGTAATTATCTGTTCATATGACCGATGTTCACTTTCTTAGGCCACAAGCTCAAAAGAGTGAGATTGTGTTCCAGCTTTCTGGTATAAGGTCTATAATAGCACCATGCGCTGCTGGATAAATGCAATTAAAGATGGGGGGGAGCAAATTTAACAAGCTTCTGGAAAACTGAGAAGCTCAAACCCAGTGCTTTGTATGACTAAACGCCACTGAGATTATGCACACTAAACTCGAGAACAAGGAATGGTAAGCTATGGCCATCTGGCCCACAGCCTGTTTTTGCAAATAAAGTTTTATTGGAACACAGCCCCGTCCATTTGTTTCTGTGTTGTTTATGATAGCTTTCATGCTACAATCACAGAGGTGAGCAACTGTGACAGAGACTGTATGGCCCGCAAAGCCTAAAAGATTTGCTATCCGGCCGTGCTGACCTCAGCCTTAGAATGTTGTTCTTAACCTTCTTTATGCCATCGACCTCTTTCTCCCAGTTTAGTGAAACCCATGGACCCTTTCTCAGAATAATATGTAAATGCACAAAGTAAACTAAAATAAAAATCAATAGGAATACAAAAGAAACCAATTATATTGAAAGAGTTGCTAAAAAAAAGAAAAAATTTGTGATATGGCAATGTGTGCTTTATTAATGCATTAAATAACAAGATCTCGCGGCGGGTCTAGTAACTGCAATGGTTTCTAAATCAAGAAGAGCGTAAACGATACTTTGATCTATCTGCAACAACTGTTATGAAAAGATCTGTGATTTCTCCTGGCGACAAGTTCATAGGCACTGTTACCAGATGCGCTGCCTATTTTCTGTTTTTTTTGCTGAGGGTGATTAGCCCTGAGCTAACATCTGTGCCAGTCTTCCTCTATTTTGTATGTGGGTCATCGCCACAGCATGGCCTGACGAGCGCTGTAGGTCCTCGCCAGGGATCCGAACCTGCGATCCCAGGCCGCCGACGTGGAGCATGCGGAACTTAACCACTACGCCACGGGGCCAGCTCCTGGTTGCCTATTTTCATAATTGAAGGACACACCAAATTTCAGTACCAGTTAGTGAAAATGAAGATGTAATTTTTTTCCCATCCAAATTCATGGACCTCCTAAATTCTATTCATGGATCCCTAGGTGGAGGGGCCTGTGGACCCAGAGTAAGAATCCCTGTTCCAGAATGTTCTACTAGGTTTTCTAGTTACATCCCTGCCCAAATTAGTGACAAAGTTTTCTGCTCCTTTTAGCAATCAGCAGAGGTGACATCGAGAAAAACCAGATAAACAAATCTCACAGCTGAGTGGCAGAGCTTAACAACACTTTCAGACATGAAAGCAAAGGCTTTTAAATCCCTTCATCATCTTTTTTTTTTTTTCCCTTTAACCATATATTTATTTCTTAAATGAGGCATACTGGTCAGTAACAGTCCCTGTCCAAAGCTGATGACTATGTTCGTTCCTGCCCATTACCTGATCCCCGAAGTGTCCAGTACACAGTGGGGAGTTAACGAATGTTGTTGAATGAATAAGCGACTAAGACACTGAGGGTGACAGATCTTTCTCGGGTTTAGGTTGCTACTAAGACAATGGACAACGCAGTCTATCAAAGCAAAGGAAGGGTAAAAACAAGATCCTATTCATTTTACAATTTGTAAAATTTTATAAGTGCCACAGATTGATAAAAGGGAAATGAACATTCCATGGAGACAATGCATGAATGGCACACATTTAAATTTTTAGAAAGCACACCTTTTCCAGACCAATTTAAAGATGCTGCTATAAATGGTAAGTTTATCCCTATAAGTCAAAATCATTCTGAACAACTTTCATAAGTGAATCCCTGAGCTACTATACCTTGTGCTGGGGTAGATTTCCGAAGAAAATCAGTTGGGCATCAGTTACGCCAATGTCTTAACTTGCTATAGTAGATTACAGAAATGTTCCCAAATATCCCCACCTCCTGTCCCTCCATGAAGCCGTGGCCTCTGCTATGTATATAATTATGCATGCTCTCCTGGCAGGGGCAGGATGACCTGCCATGACCCCTGACAGTAGGCTCAATCGTGTCATTGGATTTGGCCGATGGTATGTTAAGTAGATTTGATACAAGTAATGGCTGAAATGGACTTGTGCGTTGGGGTTTGTTCACTTGGGCCTCTGTCATCCATCATCATGAGAAGGACAAGCCTGGCCTGGCCTGTTGGTCCCAGGAGGAGGATGACAGATATGTGGAGCAAAGCTGGTTTACCACAGCCAAGGCCAGCGGATGGCCAGCCCGTAGCCAGCAAATGCTCAGACTTGTAAGTGAGCCCAGCCAAGGTCAGCAGAGTCGCCTGGACGACAACCAGCTGAGCCCCAATGTGTGAACAGAAAAGGCATACTGTTGTATCCACTGAGATTTTGTGGGTTTTTTGTTACACTGCATTATCGTGACAATAGAGAACTGATACAGACACTGGTGTCTAGAAATGAGGTGCTGCTGTAACAGAAAACTAAAATATGAAGCATTGGCTTTGGGACTGGGTAGCAGGTAGGGGCTGGAAAAATGGTAATTCACGCTATTTACTGGCAAACATTTGGTAAAACTATCTCCTGCAGTAACTTAGAAAACATATGTATTGAATTTTGGACTTATGCCAAGAGATTACTTCTAGGCAGAACAGTGAAAGTGTCTTACTGGCTGCATATGATAAGGTACTATAAGAAAGAGACAAACTGAAAATCCAAACTGGCCATTTTCTAAACGGAATTTAGAGAGAATACAGAAAATCAAAGATGTGCTGGGTTGGATAAAGATTCTCATCTCCACCAGCAAAAGGTTTTCAAAGTAAGACAAAAGGCTAGGGACAAAGATCATATTCAGGGAACTGGTCTCAGAGGAAGACCGATTGAGAAATGAGGGTGTGAATGTAAGGCTCTTTGTTAAAATCTCCAAAAGAATTAAGCTGGTGCCAAGTAGCTTCTCTCAGCTGGACAAGGATTCCTAGAAGTCTCAAGGGATTCAACCCACAGAAAGTTATATGCCGAAGGTACCTGTAGTTGGGTTTAGAGGAGAGGTGAGTCTCCAAAAGAATTGTGGGTGTCCCTTTTGGCACATAGATACACAGGAAACTCACAAAGTTTTTAAGATAGCTCTAGCAGCAAAGCTGTCACCAGCCTAGACTAAAACAAAATCTAAAAAGATCCCCAACTTTCAGTAGGCAGAAAGCAGGTTAAGTTTCTCAAAGGGACATTTTCCAATCCTTTTCAGAAGTGGCTAAGGAAGGTGATGGAAAGGATGCTCCAGTGGACAGAGTCAAGAACTGGTGGGCTGAGCCAAGGCCTAATCAAGAATCATTCCCCATCTCCAAAGTGGGGGGACCTGGGAACATTTGCCCAAAGGGAATTCAGAAATCTGTGGACCAGTGACTGCAAGTGCCTCCTGTTCTTCCCCTTTCTAATAGCAGGGTTATCATAATTATCCCAGCTCTGTTTCACCACTGTATGTTGGGAGTGTGGGGACAAACAATTTGTCTTTTTACTTCAAGGGTCTCTAGGTCAAGTGGAGCCATATCCAGACCTGACGGAGATCACAGGATCCTGGTCTTTAAGCCTGAGCCAATCATTGGATAAGACTTGTGGGGTCTTGGGAAGGTATGAATGCATTTTGCATGTCAGAGAGATGTGAATGATGGTGGGGTGAACTGTGGTTGTTTGCAAAAATGGCCCCAATTCTTTACCCCTCCTTGTATCTCTTGCCTTTGCCATGTAACCTTGTGGTGACCTCCCACTGTTGGTGAGCTCAGCCCCATCCCTTGACACGAGGCCCAACCATATAACTTGCAATAGCCAATGGGATATTTGCAGACTTAATGCAAGCAGAGGCTTGAAATGGGCTTACACATTGGGGCATGCTTGCTTGTACCTCTGCCATTGTCACAGGACAAGCCTGGAGTAGCCCACTGGTCCCAGAAGAAGGATAAGAGATATGTGGAGCAGAGTCAGACTGCTCCAGCCAAGGCCAGTGGACAGCCAGCTAGCCCACAGCCAGCAGATCCCCAGCCAAGGTCAGTGGAAACCCAGCCTTCTCCACACATAAGATTAAGTCCAGCGAAGACCAACAGTGTCTAGCTAACCCCCTACTGACCTGAAATATGTGAGCAATAAATGCTTATTATAATATGCCACTGAGGTTCTGGGGTGGATGTTACACAGCATCACTGCATCAATAGCTAACTGATACACTTGCCAAAAGAAAAATGTACATCATTTGTTGAGTTACCTAGTCTGCTGAGTTTTTGGATCAAGCTCTCCCACACTGAACTAATCAAATTATACTTTAAAAATGATTGAAATGCCTAACCATACGTTATGCAGAAATTTATTAAAAATGCATTGCCTGTATCTCTATTTCATTTAGTGCACCTCCTTGATTACATGCTTTACCAGTGAGTAAGTTCTAAAGTTACACGAGATATATATAGAGTTATAAACAATGTTTTTCCCTAGTTTACGGAGAAAGGCACTTCTGGGCAGATGAAAAGCAAAACTGCAAACAATGGTGTGACCAAAAGTCCCCAATTCATTTACGTGCATTGTGACTAAATGCTTTAAGCTGCTTATGATTCAAGCAATAGGAAGTTAGGAGCACAGAGAGAGAACAGCATGAGGGACTCACCTGTGTGGGATCGGAGGTGGACGGTGAGCTGGCTGGAGTTGCGGCTGGCGTAGGGGCATATCTGGCATTTGAAGGGCCGCTCGTCGGAATGGATCCGCAGGTGCTTGTTGAGGCTGCTGCTGTCGGCAGCAGCGTAGTCGCACGTCTTGCATTTGTAGGGCTTCACGCCCGTGTGACACCGCATGTGGGTCTTCAGTTTGTCCTTCCGGCTAAAGCACTTGCCGCAGACTTCACACTTGTGGGGTTTGTCTCCTTCAAACACACACACAGATGGGATCAGGAAACAAGACGTAAAAAGAAAAAGACTAATTTCCCACTGCCCTATGAAAAGAGTAATACACAATCACCAAAGAATACGTAGAAAACCCTCAAAAGCTAGACGGATGATTGGCAAAGAGCTAACATCTTGGGAGAGGGGGAGTTTCTTCTTCTATTTTGTTTATTGGTGTTTTCTTATTTTTCCTCCAATGAATATGAATTCCTTATTAATTAAAAATAGAAGGCAACTCAAAAATTTTAAAGTACAGCTAAGTAAAATAAGAAACTGCTCATTGTCTCTTCTATCCATTCTCTCCCTTTTCCTTATCACAACAGACTCACCCTAAAACTCAGAATCCCTAAGTTTTAGGAGAGCTCATGGCTGACCAGCTGAAGACTGCATTTCTCACGCTCACTTGCAGTGAGGCATGATTGTGCGATGAAGTTCTTGTCAAGGAAATGGCAGAGAAGGAAAGTGTGCCCCTTTTGTAAAGGAAATGGCTTGTCTTATCCTTCGTCTCTTTCCCTCCTTCTTGCCAGCTGTAAACACAAGGTGTGGGGGGTGAACGGGCAAGTGAGGGCAGCACACCTGCAGAAGGTGGATGACATCACATAACGTACTGTAATGACACAGAAAGAATTTAAGTCCCTGCACAATCTCATCGACAGAGCCACCTACGTGCCCTAGACCACCTGCCTACCTCTGCACAGTCATGTGAGGGAGACAGAAGCCCCCGCCCGGTTTGAGCTGGTGTTTGGGTTTCTTTGTTACAGCAGCTTAACCTGTACCGCACAAACACACACCTCAACTTGCCACCCACGAACTGCTAATATTTTGATGTATATTTTTCCAATTATTTGTGTGTGTGTGTGTACTTTTTTTTGGTGCAAAAAATCTCTTGGCTAACATTAATTTAAACACTTCCCTTTTGAAAGGCACTGTGCCTTTAAATGATTTTATTGCATTCTCTCAACAACTGGGATTAGAACCCAGGATGGTCTTGCTGTCTTAGCCAAATGCAACACTGCTTCCCCATTGACTACTTTCTTGCACTTAAAATAATTTCAATCATCTTTTCACCTCATTAAATATCCACAACATGATTTTTAAGGCTGAAGTATTTCACTGTATGGGTGTACAGTAAATTTTTGAACCAATTCCCTACTTGGCCATTGAAAAGAATGAAGTAGATATATACACGCCGACATGGAAAAATGTCCAATAATAAATGAAAAAAAGCAAGTTGCAGTGTGAACTTAGAATCATAACTTAATAAGAAAAGGAAAAAGCAAATTGTGTGTTTTTAGGCCTGGTATAGGCATGCCAAAATTCAAGAATGAGAAACAGGAGACTATTAAGACGGGTGACTTCTGGGCATAGGATAAGAAGGGGGTGGTCTGCGAGTCGGGATTTTCACTTTTTACTTTATATATCAAATACGTATTTTGGCCAAATCCTAAATAGCCAAGCGCTAACGTCAATTGTCAGCAAAGGCTGATCACTATCTTCAGAGAATAAATATCTGGCATTTAAGAATACATCTAAAAGTGTATTAAAGATTATAATTTTAGTATTAAAAATGTTAGTAGTCAAATTTAAAAATCCAGGAACAAGAATTTTTCAGCATCGTCAGCTGCTAAACAGCTCCCGTGGTTGCCATCCTGTGTATTTGCAACACTGAGCAGAGGCTCGATGGTGGTGGGGCTGGATGGTTTTCGGCCAGCTCTGCTGGTACAGGGCCCGGGTATTGTTGCTGCCTTGGGACCATGCCCTTCTCCCTGAAAGTAACTAAGGTAAGGACACCTTCTTATTACCTCTCCATCTCGAAGATGATGGAGATGCTGTGGTTATATAGAAACCATCCTACAAATACAAGCTTGGCTAACTGGGTAGAAGATGCTTCCTGAAGATTTGCAGAAGTAGACTTAAGGTTGTTGTCTTCACTTATATTTCTATAATGCTTCCCAATCATCGTTAATAATTATAGCACTTGACTCTTGCAGTGATGAAAATGCTAAGCTTGACTGATGGAACCTCAGCATATGAAACCCACGTGGAGAGATCCATTGCTTGTTACGTGGAGAATGCTTACGAATACTTGAAACTTAATAACTTAATACTTCGATAATTAGAATAAATCCAAATGACATGACACTGTGAGGCTGAACAGATATGACGGTGACCCCACCAAGGCCATCACTGGCCACGGCCAAGGAATATAAGAAATAAGTGACAGGTGTTTCATCTTCCAAGGCTGAGGCTAAACAGCAGGCTTTGGGCAATTTAGTGATGCCCAAGCCAAATTTCAGTGTGTCCCTACCTTATATACATTTATACTCTTTGGATTTATACATGCCTGTATCATTTAAATTATGAGCATCTAACACTTTGTTAAAAATAGTCTAAAAGCAATTTCTTCTCCATGCAGAACATTTGAGAGACATAAAAATACTAAAGAAAATTAAAATCACTGGAAATAATCACATTTTTCTTTTACCATGCATCAATCTTTTTCTCTCTTTAAAAAAAAAAAAATTTATTAAATTTCCCCTTCAAAATTACAAAAATAACACATACTCAGTAGATCCAATGATACAGTGGAAAGATACATAAAAGTTACTATTCTTCCCCCTTATTCCTCTCTTTACCAATCATTACACACACACACACACACACACACACACACACACACACATTTATAGGGTCATCTCCTCAAAATGAGAAGAACATGTGCATTTAAATTTTAATTAATTCTGGCAGATTAATTAACTGCTGTGGCAGTCCACATTTCCACTAGTGAAGTTTGCTCATATATGTTCCAGCACTGGATTTTATTGCTCTAAATATTTTCGGCCAAAATCATGTGTGGAAACAGCATCTTATTTTTATTTAATTTGTATTTGTATTCCCGTGACAACCAGAGAGGTACTGTGTCCTATCACGTGTCTGACTTGTCTGGATCCCCAGCTCCTAGCACAGGGCACGTGTTCAGGGCATATGTGCCAAAGAAATGTTACTTACCTGTGTGAATTTTTAAATGACGCTCCATGTCCTTCATGCCATAGGCAGTCTTGAATTGGCAACCTTAAAAAGGCAAGGAAAGATTAACTACAAAGGGAAACATAGTAACTTGAGAGTGGAGAAACCTGGCAGAAACTTCCTTACTCAAGCGATGGAAGTGAACCCCACAGTAACAGGACAAACGGCTATCCCGTGCCTCCTGACATGACGCACCAAGAAGGACATAGCATCCCTTCTGTGCTTCTTGCCCAAACCGCATAACCTAAACCTAATCCCGAGGACACATCAGAGAAACCCAAATCGAGGCACATTTTACAAAATAACTGGCCTGTACTTTTCAAAAATGTCAAAGTCAAGAAAGATAAAAGCTTAGGATTCAAGGAAACTAAAGACACAGGAAAACTAAATGCAACAATGTGTGATCAGAGATTGAATCCCGGACCAGGGGAAAAAATGTTTTTCTTTTGATATAGAGAACTTTAGTGAGACAACCAGTAAAATTTTAATAAGGTCAGTAGGTGTGATAAGAGTGTGCATGAACATTAATTTCCTGATTTTGATGATTGCACTGTGGTTATATAAAAGAATTTCCTTGTTTCTAGGAAATTCACACTGAGATATTTAGGGAAAAAGGGACATCACGTCTGCAACTTGCTCTTAAATTGGGGGAAAATACATGTATATATAGGAAGAACAACAAAGCAAATGTGGTAATAAGTTAACATTTGGAAATCTAGATGAAGGGTGTATAGAAATTTTTGTCCTATTTTTGCAACTTTTCTGTAAGTCTGAAATTATTTCCAAATAAAAAGTTTTTTTAAAAAGAAAAATCTTTCTGAATGTCTTCCTAAGCTAGATACAGGAGAAGTTCACAGCAACCTGAAATTCTCGAAAGTCCACTTCAAAGGCCTGTGGCTATAACAGTCGTAGAGCCCACATGACCAGCGACAGTGAGAGACAGAGACAGGTGATGATGTAAATGCTGTGGGCTTTGATTTTTAAGCCAGGCAGTTTAGAGCACATCAGTGTTAGGAATTCACGAGTTAGGGTCCTGGAACCTGTTTGAACCACATCCTCTACATAAGTAGGACACAATGCTGCCTTTACCTGGATAGCAACAGTTAAGCCTTTTCTGAGCAGGAGGTGCTGTGGGCTTTTTGGCACGTGACTTGGCAGGGAGAGAGATGACAGTGGCTGTCTGGTTTTCATTGCTTTCCGTGGGCAGATAAGTTTGATAGCCATGTTCAAAAACAAATTCTGGAGCTGAAACTAAAAGATATGACGATGATTAATTTTCATAATATGAATACCCAACAACTATTCCCTTCGTCCATCCTCCTTGATAGAGAATGAACATGCTAGATTGCTTTCCCAGTTTCCCTTGCTGCTTACGAGTGATCATGTAACCCAGTGCTAGCCAATGAGACTAGAGAACATCTGCTGGGAGGCGTCTGGAAAAGCTTTTCTCCCTGATTTAAAAAACAAAAGTGAGGGCAGAAGGGGAGGCAGGCGAGGAAAGCTCATTCCTGCTGCCCTGGCTGCCCTACTTCCTGTCTTTGGACATGCTGGAGTGAGGATGTGATGCCTGGATCTGTGGCAGCCATTCTGTTATCATAAGGAGAGAGCAAGAAAATCAGATGTTGAGCCAGAGCTCCGAAACCATCCAAATCTAGATTTACTAAATAAACAAGAAATGTCCCTATCATTTACGCCAGGTAGGTTTTCTAACTTCAGCCAAATGCATTAGGTACTTTCACAAGCTTTATCACAAAATCCTAACAAACAACTGGAAAGGAACTGATTGAAGGAATTCTGGGCAAAACTACAAGTACTCTCTAAAAACACAAATACTCTTTAACACAACTACTCCTAAAGAAATCCTACTCTCACTGAAGTTTTGAGGAAAAAAGAAAAAAAGAGACCAAACATCTTTATCATCTTTATCTTTATCATTATAAAAGATAAAATAGGCAATCTCAAATTTCTTTTTTATTTTTTTTTTGTGACTACTTTATTAACTAAGTTTATGGTCTGGGGTTTGGAAATATTTTCTTTCTTCCTTTATTACATGTAATTTGTCACAAGGAGATCTGGCTTCAAATGAGGAGTAAATATGACCAACAGGGGCTTGGTCATTGGGTGAACTTGTCAGGCTGAGAGGCCCTAATGATGACATTGAGAGCCACTGTCATATTCTGTTTCCCAAACCTTAGTCACCGAGGCACCACCTTTGACATTTTTGCCATTGTATTTACAGAATATACTTATTTAAATCAACACAGGCCTAGCATCACTACCTCTTTTTGCTTTGCCCAAAGCAGTAATATCCATAACATCTGTGCCACAGGTTAAGGGGCTAATTATATTTTCTCTTAAAACAAACATTATCTTTCTTTGAATCGAAGATGTTATAGATTGTAAGATGCACCATTATTTTATGTACCATAAATTTATAAAGCTGCCAGTTAAACACATTGTGATGCAATGCTTTCATATTCCTTAGATATTTTATATATATTGATATTCCTTAGAAATTTTATATTTATTGAATGAGTTCTTTGGACATTTGACAGGAAACCAGGTTCCTGACCTCCACCTCTTGGGCACCTCTGGCAGTGACAGCATCATTCAGATGCACGTCAAAGAACACCTGGGTCCCATCAGCATTAGATATTCAACTCATGGCTTCAATTTTTCTCAACTGAAATATGCGGAGGGAAGTTAAGTGGCTTTTGTTTAAAGCCGGCCAAAAGATCCTGAGCAAGTGATGCTCTGTCTTCACGCCCAGTTTCTTTGATGCATGAATTAGCCACACCTGCCTCCTGTTGCCGTGTTCTCATCTCGTCTGTGGGGTCTGGCTCCTGCGTCCTCTGCTCTGCTTGCTTCTCCAAGTGTGGTCCCCAGCCAGCAGCACTGCACCTACCGAGGACCTTGCTACACAGGCAAATTCTCGGGCCCCACCCCAGCCCATGGAATCAGAAACTCTGGGTGGACCCAGCAATCTGTGTTCTACAAGCCATCCAGGTTGATTCTGGTACATGTTCAAGTTTCAGAACCGCTGGCGTAGATGATCCTTTTCCATGCATCGCAGCAGTAAAACTTAACCCAGCTTTGCCTAATTGAGGGAATCCGTCTTCTTGGCTGTTGCTTTGCAAGAACCGCAGCTGTAGCTCCAACAACAAATATTTGCCTCATTAATATCAAATGGACCGCCTGCTACTGTTTCATGTAGTTTGGGTATAATCACTCTTCACCTTCAACCTGAATCATCGTGCAGTATCTTGGAAGATGTTTTAAACAGCAATTAAACTCGATACATGTAGTTCCAAAAAATGCACAGACGTCTGCCCAAGCGACAAAAATGTGATCAACTGTGATCAAGTTTGTTCACAGGGGCGCAAAGACATTTCTCGTGACTGCCTGTGGCTGACAGCAATCTCACTGCTTCTAAGATGTGCCTCCATCTCAGATATGTTAAAATGTATCTTCAAATTGAGATGAGTCCAGATGCAGTCAATTACTCTGTGTGTGCCCTCAGGCCAGCTATGTAACCTTTTTGAGCCTCAGTTTCCTCACCTGTAAGTGGGGATAATCACCGTGCCCACTTCGTAAGGTTGTTGCAAAGTTTAATGAGAGAATCAGTAGCCCAGGATGTGGCCGTGCCTGAGTCTTCATAAACGTTAGCCAGCGCAGTGTAACAGAACTGGGCACTGGGCACCAGACTCAATGGAATGATCAAGACCTAGGGTGAGCAACCGTCCCTGTTGGCCTGGGACTGATGGGTCACCCAGGACACAGGACTTTCCGTGCTAAATCTAGGATGAGTGGTCATGCTCTCGTGACTTCCCAATTTTCTGCTTTACAACTTTTTGCACAAAAAGAATGCTGGAAGGAGCTGGAGTCGGGGAGAGATTGTGGGAATGGCCAGGCCCTCCCTACAGCTCAGCTCGTGGAGTCCTCCTGGGAGGTCAGTGCTGGGCCCCGCATCCTCCTGGACCCATGACTTCCCGCCCTCCGGGGAGACTGGCTGGGCTTTCTCCCCTAACCGCCCACCTGCCCCTCCACCATGAGCCTCAGCATCGTTTCAAGGGAAGCCCAGTAGAGAGGAAACAATGGAGTATTCTGGATACTTCCCCCTTCTCAGATACATGGTTTGCAAATATTTTCTCCCATTCTGTAGGCTGCTTCTCATTCTGTTGTTTGCTTTGATGCACAGGAGTGGGATGCGGCCCCATATGTCTACTTTTGCCCTTGTTGCCTGTGCTCTTGGTGTCTTGGGGAGGCAGCAGGGAGCCTAGCACCCAGCCCTCCTAGCCACGGGAGCCAGGCACCCAGCTGCAGGGATGGTTCTGGGGTGGGCTAATCACTCACAACATGAGTCACCCCAGAGTAGACGGCTCCTAGACCACGAAGGTCTGCTCAGGAGCTTGGGCTCTTGAGTCTTATCTCTTTGAGCCTCAGTTTCCTCAGCTGGAGAATGGGGACAATTTCCATTCCTATCTCCTAGGGCTGTTGTGAGGATTCGAGATCAGGCATGTAACACTGTTATTGCTGTTGTCATTACTCATCGGTTTATTCAGCAAATATTTATTAAGCACCTACTATGTGCCAGGCACTGTTCTTGGCACTAGAAACACATCAGTGAGCCAAAGGGACAAAGATCCCTGCCTTTGTGGAGCTGACACTCTAGTTGGGAGTGGTGTAGGCAAGAAATAACTTAAATACATACTCGATAGCTAATATAAATACACAGCTAAATGCTAGGGAGAAACATAAATACAGGTAGTGCTGGGGGCATGCAATTTCAAGTAGGGGGATCCAGGAAGGCCTCAATGAGGTGACATTTCATTATAGAACATGGAAGCACATAATTATTAAGAGTGTTCTGTTGCAGATGTGTGGAATTCAACAGCTAACAAAGGGGCATGGGGCATCCAGTGACCCAGTCCCACTGGAACCCCTGGTTGGCTTTATCGAGTCATCCCCTCCCTTCCCTTCCCCACACTCAGCTTCTTTCCAGGATCCCCTGTGAACAACAGGACCTGCAGATCCCCAGGGAATGCCTTCAGGTGGCCTGGATCACTGAGGGGCTGCCTCAGTCCCTTTGGGTGTTTGTATGTGATTTGATGCTGGAGTAGCCACTCATTCCCAGATGTGTGTGAGTGTGAGTGTGTGTGTGTGTAGTCAGACTGACCTGAGTAGCCACTCAATCCCAGATGTGAGTGTGTGTGTGTGTAGTCAGACTGACCTGAGTAGCCACTCAATCCCAGATGTGAGTGTGTGTGTGTGTGTAGTCAGACTGACCTGAGTAGCCACTCATTCCCAGATGTGTGAGTGTGTGTGTGTGTG